TGTAAAATTTCAAAAATTTTCATTTATACATGACAATTTCTGCCTTAACTTTTTATCAGTCAGAAAATTGCTAAATATAATATTATATATATGTATATATATAAATATTAATAAATATTACAATATTATTATTAAAAAACTACTACATCTAGCTGAGTTTTTTAAGTTCTGATTAAAATAAACATTACTAGAGAAAAAGCAGCTTCTGGCATTCAGAAATTTTATACTCTGATATAAGTTTCCCTTTGGCAGTACTCAATATTATTGTCAGCAAATTTTCATTTAATTATTATACTATTATATTCTAGTTTTAGTCATTATAGAAAAGTCTACTTTATCTATAGTTTGTTCAATTTGATTGATTAAATTATTTCTATAGTAAACCAACTAAAAGGTAATAAAAAATTTATATATTGTTATATATTAAAATACTATAATCAATTTTATAAATTATTATATACATATTTCAAATAGCTTTTCTTATGCTTCAAGAACTAATACCTTGATGAATTTGAATAAGTATCACACAAGTTAGATCTATTAAACATTGCATAATACTTCTTGGACCAGTAGCTTCAACTCTTTCTACAAAACAAATTTATCAAATATTAAACTAACTGAAATCTCATTAACTAAAAGAACTAATTAACAAAGTTACTAAAATAAAATGAATAGAACTAGTACTTGTTGATCTGGTACTCACTCATAGTTCAGGTATTGTTAGCCTATGTCTAGAGAAATGAGTCAGTAATTGAAATGCTATTAAAGTTTTTGGTTAATCATATTCTAACTATTTTTTCACAATCCTAAATATGTTTGAACCAAGTTAAATTTTTTTTTTTCGTGCTCAAATTTTAACGTAAAAAGGTTGTAAGAAATTGACATACTTTTCTCCTTTTTCTGGCCAGACCTCATAAAACGCCCAAAATCCCTCTCGACACTTTTCTCTCACTTTAGAATTTGCATCTGTCAAGCCTTTTCGAACACATTTTTCCAATGATTCTGCTCCTCCAGTTCGCTCAATCACATCCTTTCTATCACTATGAGATTGAATTACAGTTTTTACAAATTCAATAGTATAGAATCAAAGCTATATTCTTTTCTTCTATAGCATATCAAATTTGAGTGACCAAATAAGCATAATACAATGAATGTTTTAATAGTATGTATGCTAAAGTAACAGTGGCCTGCATAACAATTTTTTTTGCTGAAGATATTATTTTGATAATATTAGCCAATAAATTTTCTGCAAAAGAATCGATAGCAGATTCTAAGTGTATTGCTAAATCTTTTATAAGACCAGCACTTGCTATAAACTAGAGAGCTATTTATATAATTACCAAAACAAATGTTTAAATTTGCAATATATACAAAAATCAATTATATTAAAAAAACCCTAAAAAGAATTTTATTGAAATTTAATATAGGTACTGATTTTAAGATACTATCTATTAATAATTTAATCTCATTAATAAATTATTCTTAAAAACTTGTAAAGGCAACTCCTCTAGTTAGTGACTGCAATTGAATTATACTATACTTATAAGTTAACTAATTTTGTTCAGATTCCTTCCTTTGAAAAGAATATAATAAATTTTGAAATTCCCTTTCTAGTTCTTTTGTACTGTTAACCTAAATACACAATATGCATAATTTATAGATAAACAATTATTACTCAGAGATTGCCAATAATATATACTATTATCATAAATTTACTTATGAACTTATTAAAATTATTTGCAAGATCAAATAATCTATAGTTTATTGATCTATATTCTATGACTGAGATTTTGTCTATAGCTTTATCATAAATAATATTCTTACTTAAAAGATTATAGTTTTTGCCTTGAGATGATTTGTCTCTATATGGAAGTAATCATAAAAGTAAAAAATTTTATCAGTTAATAATAAATAACTTATTATAAAGCTTTTACTAAATAAAACATATTTATTAAAATAACTACTAAGAACTAATAAAATGAAAAGAGTATATATAGTTTATTAAATTTTATTATATAAAAATTATCATATATTTACAACAATTAAATACTAAGCATTTTAAATATAAGTTATTATACACAAAAAATCTAGTATATACCCAATATAGTAATAAAGATACAAAAAACTATTCTAAAACTGACTTTGATCAACAATAAATCTGAATATTACCTCTTTACTTTCACAATGATGTTCTGCTTTATTACTAAATCTCTTTATTCGCTATTCAATTAATAATTCTTTCTCTAAATGATTTTTTTTTGTTTTAGATTTTGATGTAGCTTTGATTTTGTTTGACTCATTTTTATATAGCTTGATCTATAATAATTGCTTACTTCTATAATTTCTTTTAGCCCATTGATTGTCTTCAAATATTTCTGCTAATTAATCGATTGCTTCTTCTTCATTAAAAAAACATTAGTACTAGCCTCTACAAACAGAGTATCAAGTTAAATATTGACCAAAAATACTAACAAAACTATTTTCACTATAATGAATTAAAAAAACCTGTTTTCCAACCTTTGAGTAATTAATTTTTAACTGTTTTTGTAGTTCCTTTACTATAATATTTTTGATATAATATAATTCATATTCTAGAACTAGTAGGATATATACAAGAATTTTCTTATAATTACTATATTTCAGGTTTTCATGTTACTACAATCTAGCTTTTGACTTAAAGGTTCTTTTACTATTGCAAATTATACAATGAAATAGAGTTAAAGTATTTGTAGTTAATATTTTAAACTTTTGAAAAATAATATTATAATAAAAAACTATAAGTTATATTTACTAAGTCAGTTTTAAAGATTCATTTAATAGTAAATGCTAATTATAATACATACCTATAGTTTGATCAGTTGACTCTATGAATGATCAGTTAGACACAAAGAAAATATAATAAAATAATATGCATCAGCTGATTTGACTCTAATTTTGAGGTACTGTTTTGATAATATGTTATCAAAATTGGGGTTCTCTTCTATTAGAATTAGATCCCTAAAAATCAAATAAGTTGATATATTAGAATTAAATATTTATAAATAAGTATTTATAACATAATTTTAATTTCACTGATTAATATTAATAAATCATCTTTATATTTACCTACTATTTGAAGGTATTAGATAATTAATTGTAAATAAGTATTCAGAGATAAGTATTTATGAATAAGTATTTATTTTTATAATTTTAATAAAACTAATTAATATTAATAAATTATTTTTATACTCACAAACTAAATTAATTTGAATAAAATGATTTGAAGAGTATTAGGTAATTAATTAATTATAAATAAGTACTTAGAATTAAGTATTTATAAATAAGTATTTATATTCATAATTTTAATTTTACTGATTAATATTAATAAATTATTTTTATACTAATCTACTATTTAAAGGTATTAGATACATATCACTTTTGATATAACATAGTACTTTAGGTATATAGTGAGGAATTTTTTAAAATCTGCTTTATCATATGTTTTATTATTAATTCATTATATTAAGTAGTATTTATTATGATATGAATTTGAATCTTAATCTATTATATCAAGATTTTACTTAGTCTTCATTGTATCAAGAGTCTATTATATTGAGAGTAATGTGTAATTAATTGTAAATAAGTATTTAGAGATAAGTATTTATGAATAAGTATTTATTTTTATAATTTTAATTTCACTAATTAATGTTAATAAATTATCTTTATATTTACAAACTAAATTAATTTGAATGAAATGATTTAAAAAGTATTAAGTAATTAATTAATTGTAAATAAGTATTAGAATTAAGTATTTATAAATAAGTATTTATATTTATGATTTAATAAAACTAATTTTTTAAAGCTCAAATATAGTAGTATTAATTTTTGTATAGCATAAGAATTTATTTTTTTTTTTTTTGCTATTAAGGTGGCTTACATTGCCGAGTGAATTTTATTAGTTTGATATATGAGGTCCTATATAGGATTTCCCTACAGTTTGTAATTATATGAAGAGTGTTCAACAAGCTACACATATAACTTTAGTTATTGTCAAATTTAAGTAGTCCGCTATGCAGGCATTAGACCACCTGTTAGTACTGCACTATACTGCTATACCTGTAACCCACCTGTAAGTTACCTATTTAAACACTCTGTTCAACTAACCCATACCGTTATAAACTAATATCACTGTAACATCTAATCACTTATACCAGCTAGTTCATTGCAGATCTATTTATTGACTTCAGCTTAGGTCCTTCGAGTTATATTATACTCAACATATTGTGAATATCTGCAAAGCTAATTAATCTCGAAGCATACCTACTAGAGCGGCCTGTAACTATTTCACAGACTCACCTAGCTTAGACCTTTGTAGATGTTTATATAACCCCAGTTCCTACTATAGCTCTCTATCAGTGTCATTTTGAGATCTCGCTGAGGCCTATCACGAGTTAGATCCTCCCAATCCTGTTAGCCACCAAGCCAGGTTAGTGTAACTATAATATATAGTGATCTCCACTGTTATACAGACTTATGCGCACCTAACCTGATCAAAGTCTTTAAGCACACTATCTTTCTGGATCAAGCATTAGCCAGTATGACCGTCAAAAGCTGTACTACTTCACCAACTCAGGATTTCTACCATACAGGTCCTCTGCCCATAGATCCTATCAAGATTTATTCATTAATATTATGTCTCTCCAAATGCCTTGTCATACTTTTAATATCCAGATGATATTAGTGCAATATGATTTACAGAGTTACAACTCTAGAAACAGACAGGGTTTATCATAAGTTGAGTACAAAGGTCTGGTTAATTATTCAAATTTGTCAACAGTAGGATTTGAACTCCAGACCTCTTGCATGGCAGTCTGACAACCTAACTACTACACTAAGATCACCAGACCTAGTATAGGAATTTATGATTTGATCAGGTTGTATAATAATTTATACAAAGCTACATTGTTACAAATATTTGTTTTTTAAAATATAGCAGATGATAGATAATAAAAGAAATAATATAGTGATATATATTAGAAACTGTTAATATTTACAAGATTGCAAAGAGATTTTCTACTACTTTACTTTTAAAATAAAGTGAAGTCTAATATTCACAAGGTCAACAGTATATATATATATATGTACTAATTTAAAATCAAGCTATATTATATATATCATATCAATATATATCTAAAACAATTAATAGAGTTATATTTACTGTCACTATCTAAATCAAACAAAAATATTTTAAACCACAAATACAATAAACAAAATTATGTTTATCATATAGATAACAAAAAATATTTAAAACTACAAACTTAACTTTAAATTAGAAAGATTTTTAATTTTGTAGATTATCCTATTAGTTAATTGAAATAAATTATATTTGAAAGTTTTTATTATAGTAGTTTAGTATTTATTACATAAAGATTATAAACTCTATTTATAATTTATTGAATATAATATTAATTTAAAAATGATCATCAAATTCTTTCACTACAACCTTCTTATAAGGGTTTTTAATAATCAGTGATTATCAGTTAATCAATATAGAAAAAAATTTTGAACAAAAAATAAAAAAATAACAAAATTCATGAAGTAAATATAATTTAATATATGATTTACTATAAAGATATTAATAAAATAAACTTTTTATAATTAAAATTTATTTTTAGATAAAAAAATTTTTAAATTTACCTATGTTTATATTTATATTTATTTTATATTCATTCAATAAACCAAAATTATAAATCTTTAATTAATAAATATATTAATTTGCTAAGACCATGTACAAAAAAAAAATATATCAGCAAATTCTTTTGCTATAATTATTGCTGATCAGAGATTATCTATTTATCAAACTAGCAAAAAAATATGCAAAAAAAAAAATGCAAAAGATTTAGAACAAAAATAATAGAAATATAAAGGAGCTTTTATAAAGTAGAAAAAAAATTAACTTATATAATAGTGAATATAGTTTTTATAGTAGTAATATATATATTTTTTCTTCTGCTATAACTAAACATTTATATACATAAATATTGTTATATACAAGTAATAGTAATAGTAGTAATAGTACTAGAATAATATATAAAAAAATAGCAGAAATAAAAATTTTCTTTATAGAGAAAATTTTTCTAGTCAATCACTATATAACAGTAATATATAAGTTATATAATAAGAAAGTTTCTAGTATATAAACAAAAGTTATATA